TAGGATACCCTCGGGCGTGGGAGTTCGAGTATTGATAATGCTGATGGGAGGAATTAGAGAATCTAAGATTATGTCCTAGGGGAATTGGTCCATGTGGTTGCCCTGGCCATGTCTGCAGGGAGATGGTGGATATCATGAACCTGACTGCATTATCAGATTTTTTGTGGGACTGAATGAGTCCTTCGGTGTTGTAGAATCTTAAATTCTTATAGTAGATCCTCTCCCTCATTTAAATAAGGTGTTTGCACTGGTTTTGCAACACGAGAGGAACATAACTATTGAAGCTCCAGGAAATTAATATGAAACCAGTATCTTATATACAAATAAGAATACTAGTCAATAGTAGAAAACTACAAATGTATATACTCCTAGACATAATAAAAGGAATTCTAAAAGAACTAATAAGTGCCAACATGTACACAGTGTGGGTTTGCTAGTCATATTGTTGACAAATGCTACAAAAAAATGGTTTTCATTCAGGTTATAGGGCATAGGAATGTCTCCAGTATTAATGAAACAAACACTCAAGTTATAAAGGTAAATTCATATATAACAGAAACTCAGGTGAGGCTTAATACTCAGTGTAATATTTCAAAGAAATTACCTCTTTCACTCACTAGAGATACTACAACCCTCTGCGCCTATAACCCATATAAACACCATGCCTCAGATTAATGCACTGTATGTTAACCTTTAAGCTGTATCCTTATCAGGTATTACTTTACCTTTACCATTTCATACTATTAAAAATGAGTGGATCATAAATTCAGGAGCTACATACCACATAGTTAGTTCTATTGAAATGTTTACTTTATGTAGATCTATAGATAATTTGATCATATGATTGTCAAATTCTCAAATCACATTAGTTACTCATATAGGACTTATACATATGACATCTTTACTTGTTTTACGCTATGCATTATATGCACCTAGCCTTTCCCTCAATTTAAAATCCATCAGTTATTTATTGAAACATTCTTGTTATTCTCTGATATTTCATAATGATTATTGTATCATCCAGGACAACCAGAAGAAGATTGGTTTAGCTAGAGAACGAAAAGGATTGTATTACCTTGAAGCAGTAGATTTGAAGAATAAAAGTGTTGGAAATTCTATTGTTAAATTAAATTTGTCGGTTATTTTGTAAACGCAAATTACATTGATTATACTGTTACCAATAAAAATCTTTGGCATTTTTATTTTGGTCATCCTTTAGCACCAAGACTTCAAACTCTTCATCAAATAAATAAATCTATTTTTTTTTTAGTTTTTTTTTCTTCTTGTGATGCATGTCATCTTGCTAAACAAAAAAAAAGTCTTCATTTCCTATCAATTATTCAATAAGCAGTCATCGTTTTGATCTTATTCATGTTGATACTTAGGTTCCTATAAATGTTACTTTTTTTTATGGTCATACTATTTCCTTACTATTGTTGATGACAAGAGTAGGTACACTTAGTTGTACCCCATGAAAACAAAAACAAAGGTAAAAAGAATTATAATCACTTTCTTTACCTTTGTGGAGACTCAATTTAAGGCAAAAATCAAATGTGTTTGATATGATAACGGACAAGAGTTCAAAATGCCAGAATCTTATGCAAAGAAAAGGGCAATTCATCAATGTACTTACCCATGCACACCACAACAAAATGATGTGGTTGAAAGAAAACATCAGCACATAATGGATGTGCCAAGATAATTGAAATTTCAGGCCAATCTCCCAATAAAATTATGGGTAGATTGTGTGCTACATATAACCTATTTGATAAATATTTTACCTTCTTTAGTCATCAACAATAATATTCCTTTTGAGTTGCTATTCAATTAAATTCCACAATATCAACATTTAAAAGTCTTTAACTGCTTATTTATGCCTCCAATCTTATTTCTAGTCGCTCTAAGTTTGATTCCAGAGCCATTAAATGTCTTTTCCTTATATTCTCTTCTCATGTTAAAAGGTACAGATTAGATTATATGACATTCAATCTCAAAAAGTTTTTATCTCTCGAGATGTTCAATTTATTGAGCATATTTTTCCTTTTTCTGTCCTTCCTTCTTTGTCCCATATAACATTCGATAAATTTGTTCTTCTTCACACTGTTGATTTACTAATATGTTCCATCACTATGTAACAATCTCTATAGCATCAAGGTAATGTAGATTCTCACATCTTTGTTGATTTAAATAATACTAGTAATACATCTCTTTCTTTATCACGAAATAATTTTTCTCATTTTTTAGCAAGAAATGATATTGAAAATAATTCTAATAATTCCTGTAACAGCCCCGGAAATTCAAAATGGAATGTATATTAAAAATATCAAATGCGAAAGCGAAGTCAAAAATTCGATTAACATCCCTTACACTAAAACCAAAAACGTGCTCACAATATAAAAGATCAAACTACCTAAAGGAGAAACTTGAAAGTAAAAGCTACAAATATGACTATGGAGTCTTTAGGCGTCCCCTTCGTCGTCCTCTTGCGGAACTGGCTCGGGAATAAGGTCTTCCTGATCTGAAATGATTAAATAAGGAATGAGCTACACTAGCCCAGTAA